AAATTAGTTGTAGATGCAAACGAATCAATCGCTAGTGAGGCCTAGATGGCCTTGCCACTTCAAGGTCTCGCTTGTTATGAAACTGTGTGCTGCATTACTGCATTGCTGCATTACTCCATTGCACTTGCATTCGCCTGAGGACGCTACCGTGGGCGACCAAGGACTTGCGCCTTCCGGGTCCCTTGTAGGGCGTCTATAGTCCTCCTAGGGACATCTTGTCGAAAATGCAGTTTAGTGTAAAGCAAATACAATACAAGATCGCACTCGTCAAAGGTTTAACGTAATTAGGTTGGAATACCAAAAGGCAAACTTAGTAGAGATAACCTTATTTACGAAGGATGAGGTTCCCAGAGGTTTCGGGTTCAAATCCCGCCCAAGTGATAAGGTCGTCGTGACCTTTTTAGCCTGGACTGAAGCAATGTGTAAAACTGCACTAGGACAGGGCCTACTGTTTTAGATCAAAACCTTTACATACGAAACCGATTTATTCGTGTCTGCACATTTGTGTTAATGGGTGTTGGTTCAGCTTAGACATGATGTAAAGATAGTTTTTAGAGTTTTAGCGTAGTACCCTACATGACTAATGCCTGCAAAATCCGTCTTCAATATTACTGAAATTGTAAAGAGTTGAAATAATAGATATGAGCAAGGATATGATTGGGGCAGTCTGCATTTTAGGACCAAATTAGGTGCCGCCTTCCCTTCTTCCCCAATTTCATAAATATTAAGTAACCAAGACTATATGGTAACCCCGTTATGGTAAGCTTTTTCTCGTACACCTTAGTTTGTCTATTCTACTACCTGCCATTTAGAAACATATTTTAAATTATTAGAGAGGAGAGAATATAATTTAGCGTTTAGGCTTGGGTAGTATCAAATAGGAATGTTAAGAGATTCTAGGAAATATGTCAAAAATCCTTTATTGATCAAGCGTTTCTCATTACAACTGCTTTTCAGAACAACTCTCGTCATCCTTATATATAATACGTGAAGGCGATTTGGCGATTTCTACGAAACACTACTCCTCCGTTGATAATAGACGGATTTTTACAAACGAGGTGTTAAAATTAAGTATTTTTTGTGTAGACGCCCCCTTTCACAAATACCTGTAACAAAAGTCTTCGGGCTTTGCCCCACAGACCATAAAAATCCCAAAGTATTTCTTATGAATAAAAGATTTTGTTTACTTAAACAGACGAATAATTTGTATTAATTACAGCTGTTCATATTAAACACATGATACAGACAAGAGTGTTCGGTTTCAGAGTGAGTTCGTTTCCAGTTTCGATAACTGGAGTGGAGTGATTGATTACATTATCTATCTTTGAGTTGACTCTTTTAAGTCAACGGAAATTGTGACTGTTATTCGTAAAAACCCGCCTTTAATATTTTGCAATTGCACGAATTCGAGCAACAAGTGCACTAGTATTATAAGAAACCTTGAGCTATTTTATTCTTTGTACTCTTGATTTGTCTTGAGGCTAGGTATTTAGTAATACAAGGTATACATAGTGGAAAGACAGGAAAATACTGAGAACTTGTTAGATACTTTGATGGAGAAAAATCACAAAATAATAAGGGGTAAAAATGATTGAGTACAGACAGTTGTATTTCTTCAACATCAACAGAACATTCAATAACAATAAAGCACATGTTAATTAAAAAATCCAAAACATGTGTTAGAGCCGACCAATGGCAAAACTATTTGAATGTTTTAAAACTTTTATGTCTTGGAAGCAGACTAAATGCAAAATAAATGATAGAATACTTAACAATATTTGTTACGTTTTAACGACATGTTTTGTAAAAATAACTCCACAGTTTTATTTTTAAATCCCAACAAACACATTTGATTAAGATGTTTTAAAATAATTATTAGTTTAGCTTTTGTTTGCAACCATTTCCTTTAAAATGTGACAAACAATATGTACGTTTTTTAGGTATTATAGATCACGATATTTTAACTGAATATCAAGATTATTGTATGTAACATATCTTTAGTACAGATTTTCTTATATAGTCTGTTGTTAGGAATAATTTATTGGTTTTAATAAATGTTTATATTTTACGATGTAAAATTGGACAAAAAAGTTTCTTCCCACCATTGTTATCAATATCATTATGAGATGGGGACGCCACTTAGGTGCGTGTTTTGACCCAAATATGAGTGAAGGATGAGTGTAGAATTTTGTGAGATGATCTTTGTATAATTTTTACTGATTACGACCAGGATCATTTATTTAAAGCCCAATAATCAGAGACAGTTGGGTCCAGTTTTGAACGATCAAAAAGCTACTGACTTTACTCAGGATCGAACCACCGTTCTGGTTGTTATCTCAATTTCCAAGGAGTTCTTCCTTGGAAAATGAGACTAAGCTGCCTATTCTGTGTCCAAGTCAAGTAAATTGCATTGTTTATGATTCTATGGTGGGTGTTCTATTAGCATAACAAAAAAAAAACACCAACAGTTGGTTGTAGCGTGGCCAGTTTAATTCTATGCATTTCAAATAATTTTCTCCTGCATATGTTCACACTCCCCAAAATTATCTCAATTTAAGAGTCCCACCATGACCTTGGTAAATTAAACAAAAATTTTTTCCCCATATATTTCGTTTTTTTTTTTTTTGAAAAATTATAAATTATGTGGTTCTACCGGTCTATTTAATCTGGTGTTGTACAGGTATTACAAAATGCTTACAAAATGGGTTAAATGGGTTGCTTACAAAATTTTGATTTTTTAGTTGTTTCACATACATTACAGTCTCTAAAATGTAGAGAGCATAAACCGTTAGGATTTTTGTGGAAATAAATAAATGTTTAACAGATTTACCCCTTTTCAACTTAAACATAATTCTTAACGCGTTTTTTTTTGTTTCCGCAACATTGTATCTAAATTTGTCTGCGTTGTTGCTCCGTAAATGCTTATTCCGTAGGACAGGTGAGAATGAATTAAAGAATAATAAACTGTTTTTAATGTTTCTAATTTACAAAATTTAGCCATTTGTCTCAAGACAGACAAACCTGTTGACATTTTGTTAACAACATGTTTTGTATGATCGTCCCATCTTAGATTAGCGTCAATGAAAAGTCCCAGAAATTTTGTAACTTCTACTTGGTCTAATTATTTGTCATCTAAATAGATTTCTGGTTTTAGTTTGACCTTTGCTTGTTTCGTAAAAAAGATATGAAAGTGGTTTACTTGAATTAAGAAGAAGGTTTTTACCATCAAGGAAATTTTTAATAATTGAGAGACTACTAAATGATGCAATTTCAATACCCTCCTTGGAATCCCCTGTCACAGTGATATTAGAGTCATCGGCATATAAACATACGTTACTGTTTATGGGTAGTAGGTCAGGTAGCCCTTTTATGTAACAAAGAAACAATAAAGGTCCTAAAATTGACCCCTGTGGTACTCCGTGTTTAATTTTTAAATTTTGAGAGTTAAACTTCCGGATATAGTTATAGTGATTTTTTTAACTATTGAATTTAATACTGTAGTGTGCTCAATTTCTACAAATTGCTCCCGATTTTCTAAATATGATATAAAGCACATAGATATAATTACACCACAGTGTAGGGTGGATCGATGCCTCTTGGTGTTTAGACCGCTTCGAAAAAATCCTCAACAAACTAATTAACATTAAATATTTAACAATAACAATTTACTGTGTGGAGCAAATACGTGGATAAATGTATCATGACGTAAATGTAGGATACAGTACTTATCTTGTATTGCTCCTGTCAACAGCTTTTTTTCTCGACTTCTACTTTTGACGAGGCCTACTACTATTTCAGGAACAATGCCAGTGTAGTATCTATCTTTACAATGTCATGATAATGATCAAAATAGTTTTTTCTTCTATTTTTACCCTTCATCCAACTGATAATGTTTCACAGGTTAAGTGTAAGAAAGGGCCACGTGGCCCTAACTTTGTCTGTGTAAATAATTTTTTTTCGTCTCATTTCATTTTATTTCAATGTTACCTTAGATCAATAGATTTAGGTATGATTCAAACTAATTACTGTTGGATATTGGGAGTTAGCTTCCATGGATACACAAACTAAGTTTTTATATTTAAACATAAACAACATACAAATCTATCAAAATTTGAAATTGGCCCAATACAACTGTTCTTGATTGATGTTAATAATATTTGCCAACAATACCGGCTGTATCCATTCATATTTTTTTAATACTTATTTTTAAATATTTTTATTTCTTTACTCGTTAATTTTGGAGGTGGTTTACTTTTGTTGAAAATGTACAGTGATAGTTTTTTTAATGCCCTGGGAATGCATAACGGTAGGATTGTTGACCCGATTATGAATCATGGAGTCCCTTACCGAAGATTTCGAAAGAGCATTTGGGTGGATGTAGCGACAATATATCCGAATGTTTTGGACCTATTTCTCCCTTTGGTTAGGTGTAGATGTCTCTCTATCCTCATACATCTGGATTGATCCAAACTTTTCATACATCTACAACGTGTAACGTGTATAAATTTATCTATCTCTACTAGAGCCACTTGAAATGATGTTTGCAAATCCACCGTAGGATGCCCTTCATAGCTTATTTACTATCAATGCTTATACATTAAAATAGATAAATAATTTATGTTAGTGTAACAACGTAGTAAAAATATTTTCAGTTAAATCAAGGCCTTCTCGGCATTCCTGATTGCGGCAGTTCCCCAAGGAACATAGCTCCTACCTTAGCGTGTTTCGCATGGGTTTGTATGGATGTCACTATTGGTTAAAGGTATTACTTTTCTTTCAATTCCAATAAAGACTACACTTGAGAACCCACACTGTAAAACTTGAGTATTTAGGTCTCCATAGTTTCAATTTATGATCAAATTACAAGAAATCTCACAACAGTTATTTATACTTATTTGCTTATAAAACTGTACAACAACACGGATCTACTTAACATACATATTTTAAATATTCTCCAGCTTCACAGCTGTACGATCAGCTGATTAGTCTAGCAGAAGAATACAATCGTGGACAGTGTGTTCAGGATGTGTCCGGACAGCATACATACATACTAATGCGACGTATATAAGAGGAGCTCCCATGGCTAGGGCTGTTGGTACTGCAGAGGGCGCGCGAAGCGGCTGGGACTGCTAGCAGCGATGGAATCTGTGCGGGTGAGTCCACTGGAACACTGTCTACACTATATTTATCTAAAACACTAATTTATAACAATCTATTTTTTAAAAAATTGAAATTATCTTATAAAAACCTCGGTATCCTTTACAGAATAAAGATTGTTCTATACTTAATTTATTTTTAATTACAAAACACAATTACTTTCTGGATTATCCTCATACATCTGGAAGGATCCAAACTTTTCATACATCTACAACGTGTAACGTGTGTTAAGTTAGGCTTTACTATATATTTATTTATCTACGCAGATCTAAGCTGCACATATGTCTGTAGTTTACTATTTATATTGGCATGTACTAATCTAAGCCCCATACATGTATAATAGTTTTCACCCATTTATACCGATCTAAACCTTAAAAAATAGACGTAGCCTAATATGCACAGATCTTTACAAATTTTATATGTATTTTTACAAATCTCTATGATGTATAGTAATCCGAACTATCTTTAACTCTGTCCTGGTCTAAAATTAATGTTCAATTAATAGGTTGTTATAGAAAGTTCCAAACATATCGTGTATCTTTTATGTTTAGTATACCCACCTGCATAGGTCAAAATTGTATAAATTTCTGTATAATCTTAAGCAATAGGCACTGCTATAATATATACACATCTGCACCAGTCTAAACGTTTCTCATACCTATGATGTATATATGTACATACGCATACTTTTGAAAAGTCTATAATGTATACCCAACCACACACATTTAAACTGTAAGGATACAAAGTATTTATTTTTTATCTAAACTAACAAGTTTCCTTTTATTAGCAAACAAAGAATATGTTGTAATTGTTTATAAATATAATTAATTTACACCATTGGTGCAATTAATTTGTTCGAAAATAGTATTATGCAACGTTGACACATTTCTAGATGATATGATTTCTGTTTAAATTAATTAATTGTTACAATTAAAATATTTTCATTGTTAAGGATAACGATAATAAATACATATTTATTGTTATGATAACTGTAATGAATAATTCAATACCAAACGAGTTCTAGCATTATCTAGGCACTTGCTAAAAAACCAATTTAATAAACAAGTTAATTGTGAAACCAATTTAATAAACGTAACATTTTTTAATTTTAGCGAAATTCCCATATATTGTCGAAATTCCCATATAGGGAATAAGCTACATTACCGTATGTCTCATGGTAAGACCTAGACCCGGGACCGATTTACTTTTTTGTTTCGAGGTCCCCAGAGGCCAATAACACCATCCGTTCAAATGTGTGTCCGTTAGCGCGATAACTCGAGCACAAATGATCTGATTTTGATGAAATTTGGTACAAACGTGTAAACCTACGATTATTTGAACGAGTTCGCGAACCAGCATAATCGGGCCATAAGAACGGGGGCTTATGTGGGGTAAACGTTTTTCCCATTTTTGACCGTAAAAACACAAAATTTTGCAATTTCTTTCTAAACCATTTTGTAGAGCTTAAAAAAAATAAATAACTTAGTGTATTGAAGTCCTGCTGTATGCCTTCACGGAGAAAATTAAAAAATCATAATTTAAAATTCCCATGTTATTTTTATAGAGAAAATGAAAACTGTTGTAGTTTACTTGTTTATTGGGAAAGTCGATAAAATTTGGTAAATTTATTTATTTCATCCTATAATATTGACGTATAGTCAAAAAACACGTGTTACCTTCCCCGTAGCAGCAATCGTAAGCGCTCGTTAAATCTAATGTTTTTAATTGAAAAAAAGATGTATTATTTATGGAAATATTTTAATAAAAAAGTAATCAGACAAGTTGAAATTCGTTTAGTCTGCAGGTTTGCTGCGGCGGGGCTATTATAATTTTAAAGGGGAATGTTAGGCCTAAAATTAACCGTTACATAGGTAACTATGCAAATACCATTGCTAGGAATATTCAAAACAAAATTAGAATTATAAGAAAAATTAGTATACTGTCAGACCACCAGACATCCTAATACTATTTCGAATTAATTTTAATTAATAAGGGGGAAAACTAAAATCATATTATTTCTCATGTTTGCACATACAATAGCTACACTTTAATTTATATTGCCCGTAATAATTTCTAGTAAAACAAAAATTACTATAACCAACAGCAAATAATAGTGAAACACTGTAGTTAATTTGCATTCACCTTAGATCATGTTTACTTTATTTCATTTTCCAAATGTTGAAACGTATATTATATGTTTACTTGACTTAAACTTAAATAAGTTATACATAAAGTTATACTTAAATAGTTTTACATTACAGTTTGGTTTTGTTAAAATTGGTCTATAAACTTAGCTGAATTTTTCAACAGAATATGCTAATTTTCTATTATAAAACAATCTTCAGCTTTAACGTGGAATTACAAGTCCACTTAACAATAATTCATCAATAATCAACGGTTTTACTAAATGAAGCTAGAGCATCTTATCGCAAATATTCGCACGTTATAATTCTAAGGAAGGTAGAAAGTAATAAGAATTGTACTATAGTTCGACAATGCCCTAAGCCAGAATATTTTGGCCTTAGGCCAGCCTTGGCCACTTATTAGGTAAGAGACAACTCTAAGCGGAAATTTAGATCTATGCTGGGAGATTATTGATGGATGAGTCAATGATGGTTGTGGCGCCGGTTTGGAATGTTATGATTCCATTTCAACACCTAAGTTACAGCTATAGGTACATTGTAAGTTGAACTTCTGACTTGATCATAAGCTATTGATGTATGGACTCCAATGTGATACGGATTCCTTTATTTGGTTCTTTGGTACTATACCGACCACACCTAATAGTCATAAACTAACCTGGCCAAACCTAAGGGTGGTTAGGCTAGGTTAGGAAGATTTTGTTATTTAACTAATTAAATTCTTATTTGGAAGTTGATTTATCGTGGTGGTCGCTAAAATACCACACACTCAGCTATAACGTAGATTAGGGTCTACAATATTTTCTATCATAGAATTAATTATCATCCTTATGTATCAGTTAAAACAATAACAATAAGATATGTTACAATGTCGATTGTGTTGATGTTTTCCATACTGTTACCAAAACGGTAGTTTACTTGCTTTTGGAACTAACCAATTGTGCAGAAGAATACAATCGAAAAATACGTGCTAGTGAAGGTTACATTAACAGTTAGTAGTAAAACAATTAAAACTGTTGGCCTATTACAGACATTGACTTCATAATCTCCCTGAAAATGTTATGTAGGCTATGTTAAATCTATTTTATTAAATTTATTTGACGTAGTTTAAATTATTTTTAAGCATCCTTTATTTTCCCATGCATAAGCAGTCTTTTCTAGTTTGAAAAAGATGATGATCTAATCGAAATCTACATGCACGAATGAAAAAGTCATTTTATACAAGGATAAGATAAATTTTAATATTTTTATATTGTTATTGCAATTAGACATGATTTAAAACCATACCATTTTGATAACGCTGTAAAGGTCTTATAGAACAGGAAATTTTTCAGACTGTAAAAGTGTAATTGTGAGTGTGTACGGTATTTAAAAATTATATGTGTGAACATCGGATTTCAATTAAAAGTATAACTATTATTATTACTTTAAGGCAGTAACGCACACCTAGGTGCTCACTTCAAATTCAATACTAATGAGTAAGTGAGATTGGCTGTGTATTTTTTTTTTGTCATTTATTTCTTTGGCTAGGACCATACGGACTGCGACATCCTTACTACCACCCTTTGTAAAGTCCCGATAGTCAAGGATACTTTCGAACCTTTATAAAGCTACAGTTACTGACTTTCCTCAGGATTTTCACTGATTGATTATTACTGACTCTCAGTTTATACAATCTTTATAAAATGTTTACCTAACTTAACCTAACCAAACCAAGAAGTACATATGGTAGTGTTTACGTGGCGACAAAATCAATGTCTTTATTTGACAACACTATCCGATTTCTTTTTGTTTCAGAGTATTTTACTGTTGGCACTCGTGCTGTCAATGCTGATCGCCTCCACAGTAGCTGCCCCCGCTGGTCCGGCCCCCGCTAGTCCGGTCCTCAATAGACAGACCCCCGCACAGTCCCCTACTAAGGGGTCCGAAGGGGACCTCGAGGGATCGGAGAGCGCCTACTACTACGGATACGGATATCCTTACTACTACGGATACCCGTACTACGGTTATCCATACTATGGATACCCCTACTACCATCCTTACCCGTTTGTCTACGGAAAATAACCTCAGTTTAGTATTTATGATTTTGTAACTAATAAAATGTGATAACTTCCATTTGTGTGTTTAATTTATTGCCAATAACCGATTTTATCAGATTTTTACTATTTCAGTTAAGATATTTAACTAATGTGTGTGATTCAAGGCTATTAAAAATGTAAGTATTGCACAGCAGTTTATAAGCGATAATTAATTTGGCTGTTAAATGTTTGGTTGTAAACTCTAAGAAAATGAAAAATAAAAACTACTTTCTATATTTCCAAGTAGGCAATGTAAAATAGAAGCAATAAAAGATTTTACCATAATTGAATTTCCACCATTACAAAGCAAAATTGTCTCTAAATCAAGTCAGAACTACTAAGTCTGGGACTAGAAGATTATCCAACCCGCCTGTTAGATAATTCTAAAGGGCAGTCGATTAATGTACGATACATTGCCTGAGTGTCAGCCCCAGCTGAATGAGTGATCCGGGCGCAATATCCACTTATACATGAAGAATAACTTTGATGTAAAAACATAATTGGGACATCTTGTTCTAGGACCTAACTATGGTATTGATTTACTATTTTGGCAACAAAACTACAATTTTTGATTAACCAAAACTGTCTTGTGATGGATGATTATGTATTAATAAAAACTCTTTTTTGGAGGAAATGCTGGCGATCACAGATGTTGAAAACTTCACAAATTGTGTTGGTTGAAGAGTCTAGATAAATTGCTCGACAGTAAAATGATAACAAATTAAAAGTATTGACATAATATAATAACCATTTGCAATGTGAGTTTTGTTTTATATCCATTCTGGTAAATAGTATCTCAAAAACTATTATTAGAGTGAAATACTATTAGTTCAAAACATAAACACATTTATGTAGTCCCCGCTTTTTTTATTGTGGATTTCTTTGTTAAAATATCCATCCCATTTATTTTTGAACTGTTTTATAACAATCCTGATGAATTTGATTGTCTTTTATATATCTTTAATTGTCAACTTTGAATTTGTGGATCATTTACGTAAAAGTAGGAAATACGTTACAGGTACATCTATCTATATATCTAATTCCGTAAGCCCAAAATTTTACAATGAAATTGTGAGCGAACTGGAGGCCGTAGAAAGCTGGAAGGGGTCTCATTTTAAAGGTCTGGGCATGAAGTTTTGGGGAAAAATACTCATTTTTCTTACTTATGCACCAAAAGGTTATTACAGGATAAAATAAATCACATTTAAATAGCATGGGAATCCAGGTCATGTCCGATTTGTTTACTTTAAAACATGTGGTTTAGATTTATTTAAAGCATATGGTAATATCATTGACTATTGGCTACAAAAGTTGTATTAATAGTGTTAAAGGTAGTATGTAATATATGTATTGTATGTAACTATAGTGCATTTGAAAGTAAACATGCGTGCAAATGAAAATGAAACAGCATTTTGTGATTGGCTTCTACGCTTATATTAGGTAATGGAATCTTAGAGAGCAATAGGGCAACACCGGCAATTGACATTCCAGATAACTTTGTTCTCTCTGATTGTGCAATAGTTTATGGCAACTCAATAAATCCAGAAAATATTCAAAACTACTCCAATCAAATAATTGTATGCCCTTTAAATGAACATTGTGATAATTTAAATGAAGAAGTATTAAAAATCTACTACAGTAATTATGAAGTAGTTTCAGAAGACCCTACAGAGAGGTTGAACATACCAATTGAGTTTATAAATTCAATTACACCATCTGGAATGCCACTACACAAATTAGTTTTAAAAGTTGGTTCAATAGTGATGCTCATAAGAAATAGGGTCTGGATTAGTTAATGGAGTACGATTGGTTGTGTTGGGTATGTCTGAAAAAAATGTAAAGTTAGTAGTAATTACTGGAGTAGGGAAAGGGAACATATTTTTCATGCCAAAAATAAAACTAATATCTACAGATCCTAATATGCCCTTTACAAAGGATTCAATTCCCATTGCGATTATCTTTCACCATTACTATAAATAAAGCGCAAGGCCAAACCTTCCCAAAAGTTGGAATTTATTTAAAAAAAAAAAAACAGTGTTTACCCATGGTCAACTTTATGTTGCTTTTAGCCGGGTAAAGCGGCCAGATGACGTTAAAATAGAAATAGAAACAAATAAAGACCAAGGAATGGACCAAAATGGATACTACACAACAAATGTTGTTTTCAGAGATATTTTGTTACAGAATTAGTATTTTACAATTTGGAAGATGACATTATCTCTATGTGTTGTGTTTTTCTAAGTGAATTTGTCTATATTAAAAAAAATGTATATATATTTAATTAATAGTGAAGATTATTGAAAATGTTCTTTTGCTGTATTATGATTAGAAAATTTATGTTACAAACCCACCACATGAAGAGTCATTTTGAATTTTTATCCTAAACAGAGCAGACATAAAAATGAATTATGCAGGTATGTGATAACTGTTATACATTATTATAATATACAAAAAATTTAAACGATAATTCAAGGTAGGGTACGGTAACCCATGAGACAAATAATTTGTACAAAATAATTATTAGAATATATTACATATACTGTATATAGGGGCTATTGCCCCTACAAGCCACTAGTGTAAATTTAAATGACTTGATTTTATTTTAGAACCCACGAAGAGAGGCGTAATTTTTTTATCGAGAAGGTTTTTACTCGATATCTTACTATATAAGTGAATGATACTTTGATACTTACTTGATACTTGATACTTGAAGTAAGCCCGTTGGAAGTGCATTCGCACAACGGTTGTCATAGTTTTGTTTACATCTACTTATTCTTCCAGATGCTCTTTCAAGTTGTAATATTTCTTTCCCATCAGATGCTTCTTTAATTGTTGCTTGAATCTGTTTATGTCTTCTGGTACTTTATTAAAAATTTGTGTTGTATTATAGTAGGCACTATTTTTCATTAATGTTGAGTTTACTTGTGGAATATGACTATCTTTTTTCTGTCTGGTGTTGTATCCATGCATTTGTTGGTTACTTATAAAATATTCTGGTTTTCTTCTTAGTAGGACTGCTGATTCCAAAACCAAGGCTGAAGCAAATGTTAGAATGTTCAGTTGCTGAAAGATAGGCCTGCAGTGGGCTATGAAGTGTTCTTTGTTTATAGTTCTTATTATCCTTTTTTGCAACAGAAATATTCCATTTGCCTCGGAGCAGTGACCCCAAAAAACAATTCCATAACTTAATATGCTGTGGAAACAGCCATGGTAGATTTTTAGTAGTACTTCTTTTTCAACAACATTTTGTAGTTTTCTGATACTACAATGTATGGACGTTTGTGGGTAAGTCCGATACGTGAAAAATACTGGACCAATTGACGCCAAGAGCCAATATACATACATATATTTTATTCTCATGAATTTATGAATAAAATTAATAAATTTATATCAATATTAAACAACTGTGAAATAGTACATTTCATCACTAGGGCCTAAAGTGATTCTTTTCAACCCGAGCTCAAGATCGACCCGCAACAAATCCATTAAAAACGACCGTTTTGGCTGCAGTATGACTAAAAAGAGTTAGAAAAAAAAGTTGAAATAGTTTAGTTGAACTAAAAAGAGGCCTTAGCCATCTATAAGCAATTTATTTCGTATGATTGGAGAATCAATTCAACAGTTTTAATTTGATTGTTTATAGAAGCTTTATTGATAACTGCTTGGCAGTTAATCAATGTGAAATGGAGTAAAAAAAAAACGTCTAAATGGCTGCTGAAGTTACCTATGAAAGGACAAAACCTATTTCGTTACCTATTTAGAAACCACTAAATGTTGAGGATGGGTTATAATCCTAGAATAATTATTTTTATCTTACACTGTGTGTTAAAACGTGATGGGTTTTTTTGCCCAACGTTCTTAACCAACCACTAGACAGATTTTTCTGGATCAAGAATCTTCCATTAAAAGAAGAAGAATTTTTAGTGTAAGGGAATGTGGAAGCGATAATTGTAACTTTGGGCTTCAATTATAGTATCCTAAAGTCGATGGTTTTACAAAAGTTTAGAAGCCGGCGCTAGTATTTAAGGAATGCTTCAGTGCAATATAATTTGGTTTAACTAAAATCTGGGTTTCTTATTTAAAAAGGATATGTTTGAATGAGCCCCGAGTGTGCTACTGTCAGAATTGTACTGATACTTTTATAGATCATCTATTTGGAGAAAGAATCTTCTTTCTTCAAATTTGACTAAAATGTATATGTTATTAGTTGTTTCATATTATAAAGGATTTGTGTTTTGTTTATTAACTATATACCTCAAACTTATCGGTGTATACTAATCACGTTTCGTTTTCTGTGTTTCTTCGCTCCGCTCAACTATCGGACCTGGGACCGCATACCTAGTATGTAAACCAGCTATTCCGATCTATATGCAGTTTTAACTGATTACTTGATACAAGTGTGCTGGACACAGCTTGCTTTGGTAAATATGTGAAGTAATACTATAATAACGAACTGCTATACCCGTGCTTCGCAACGGGGGCTTACACGAAAGAGAGAATGCTGTTCTTTAGATCTGCGCAGATATAGCGCCGTATGATATAGTTACACATTTATTATTTACTTAAGAAACAAACTACATATGTAACCATTTAGTATAGTAAAATCAAGGTTCGCATTCTCTAGGTAACCAATTACAGTACATAAGTGATTGTGTAGTGAAGTGATTGTGGGGCAGAGCCCTTAAGGATTTCGTTTATACTAATTTTTTTAATCAAATCTAAACTACATAATCTGAGCTTCATTTTGATATGCCATATACCTATATATTTAATGGGTTAATGACCTTAAACAGTGACTATTATGTTACTGTATCATTTAATAATACAATAGATGCCATTAATTTTGGAGACGAGACGTACATCAAACTCCTCGCATTTATAAAACAAGTATACACCGTTTAAAAATACATATAAATTAATAATAAATGTAGAGGTAACACGGTTATATTATTAGGAAATAATAAATTTTCTGTATTTTAAATCTAATAACACACTGAAAACTTAAGTAAATAATCGTCTCACGATTCCAATTGGTCT